GAATGATAATGGGGTGGATTGGCTGATACCGGATTCTCCACCCTCGGTATGTGATGTCACCTAGAGGTAATTTCCACATTGCGGTAAAATAGCGTCTCGGTGCTTTATCCCAGGGACACAATTTTCCCTGTCATGAAACCATAAACATTCACCTCCGGGTGGGGCCACCCCTCTATAACCTCAGACCTATCTGCATCCCCTTTCCCTCTCCCTCGGCCATTCCTAGCGCCATTTAGATAAACTCGTAATCTAGGCGACATTTTATACAGTGAAATATACCCCAGGGATTGTCATCCCTTCCAAAGAGGACGAAAGAAAAAAAAAATAAAAACAAAGAACAGAATCGATTTATCTGAAGTTAAACAAATACGACTTTTGTATTTTCGTCTGGAGGTAATCCACGAGAACCTTCAAAGGCCACCCCTGAAGATTCAAAATGGCGTCGAAGAATAAGTGAAGCACTTGTGTTACGATAAAAGAGTGAATAGGTTAGGGTTAATTGTCAGGTCAATTTACTCGGGCCATTCGGTCCCTTTTCAGTTTTGGAGTTTCTAGTGAGTCGTTATGAGAAAGTTATAAAGTGGCCAGAAATGTACTCAAACTCTTTATAGTTTTCACCGACATTTGAGAATCTGTAAGGTCCTTTATTTGACCCTCCACCTCGGAAAACCCTTTTACGTACTTTTCCCTCCGTCGTATTATACTCAATGTATACTTGGCTACCATGACCGTTAGCTGTAATCAAAGTTAAATCCACCTCCTAACCCTTTGGAGCTGTAAGTAGAGTTATGAGTGGAACTGGCACCGTACGGTAGTTAATGTTTAACGATATTCTCGTGGCCATTAAATGCAGGAGGTCGTCTTCTTTCCGTGAAAATACTTGAGCCATTTTCATTTATTGATCCTTCCTCCGTACATTATTCGTCTCCTTCCAATCATTCACCGTATAATCCATTTATTTATCCCGTTTCATTGAAATCATACGTCAATTATCCAAAGTGAATACATTATTATTTTTTTTTTATCTTCTCATTTTAAAATGCTAATGACTGAATTTACCGTAAAAATTCATACGAATAACTGAATTAATGCAAACAATGAACACGCGCATGTGATCTAATGGCTTTACGTTCAAATCCATAAAATATCATTCGGTTTTGGGTATTTACGGGAATTATACTGTGAAAATATGAATATGAAATGGAGATTCAATGCGTTCTGGGGTGGCGGTATGAGCATTACAGATTATCGGATTGGAAAGTATTGTCTCGCTGGTTTCGAATGTTATGACTCGATAAAAACATCATTTGAGTATTTCACCGAGGCAAAACGACCAAATCACAATATTTTGGTTGCACAAATTCTTCACGGTATTTTTTCCAATTGCCCTTTAACATCTCTCTCAAATACTTTTTCCCGCTCATTCCTAAAGTAAACATTACGCTCGTGTGAAGAATTTCAGTGCGCGTTTTCTCCACCAAAATTAAATAGTTTAATAAAACCACTGCGGAATGAGTACGTATGTGGAAATAAAAATGGCGAGGGGTTGAAATGCTCATATATCTCCTCCCGACGAGCTTCAACGTCAAATATTTGTTGGATAAACATTCGGGGATTCGATATGAGCGCGAGAGCTTGAAATTCGTCCCTCGATTACTTTTCACTGGCGATTTTACCTTCTGCCCCATCAGAAATCCGTAAACAAATTCTGCGTCACTTGTTTTTCCATTTTTACGTCACCCATTAATTTATCAGTATTCATAATTCTTCGAGTTCATCCCGTTGTCTTCGACATCATCTCCAAGCCCTTCATACCCCGCGGTAATTTATTAAGTCCTGAAGTGGCACCGAGGTAACAATGTGCCCTTCTTACCCCCATTTCATCCTCTTTTCCGAGTCTGCAGCACCTCAAGTACTCTCAAGAGGGAAAATATTGAGGGAGAAAATTTTTTTTTTCCACGACGCCGTCAATGAATTATTTGACCCTCGCGATTTTTCCGCGGTACCAAAATGGGGGGATTTTTTAATTCATCTTCTTCGTTATCGTACTTTTTTTTATTTCACTCCTTTTACTTTCCCTCTTCACCCCCCCCCCCCTTTTTTTCTTTTCTACTCCCTGGTGACGTTGAAGGGGATGGTTTGTAGTGCGCACACCAGCACAGTCTGTTGGGTGATTAGTGCGCTCATTACGAGCGACGCTAATGATGCTTACGTATATATAACCCTTTCTCCCCTTATGCGCGTCCCACCGTATAGAAACAAAAGGTTGACTTGCTCAACGCCTGGAACAGGAAACACCCCCTGTGTACGGGTGTATTTGTGGCACCCGTAATCCACCCCCTACCCTTGTCTCACACCGGAAACTTGAATGTCTCTACGTGTCTCGCACACATTTTGTTTTGAATTGACCTCGTGTGTGGGCACAAGAAACAGTCACAAATGAATGTACAACTCGGGATTTAACTAGGGGTGGCCCCAGGGTGTAGGTTAAGTTCTACTTAATCCAAGGGGTGCGGACCAACCGGAGAAACTAAGAAAAAATTTACAAATTCTTATGGTGTCCTCTAAATATTTTACATTAATTTTTTGAAGGGGTGGTTTTTTTGGAATTTCATACATCCGAAATTTTCATCCCCTTCCACGATGACGTGTGCCGTGCAGATAAAACGAGAGAAACCCGCGGGAATTCCGACAAGAAAAAAATATCAGAATAGATTGAGAATAAAAAATAATAGAGAAAAATGTCTAAAGTACAATTCGCTTTTACTTATCGTCGTTGGGATTCCTCTAATTGCATTTTTATCGGAATAAAAAATGATGCGAGATGAATCCGTTATGGAGCTTTTGCCACCCCATCTACAGTTGGTGTTTTTTTTTTTTTCTTCACTCCATCGCGGATGGAAGAATGAGAGGGATTTTTTTCTCTCTCTCCTCTCCTCCGGGGGTTGCACGAGAGGGTAGAGGAGATGGTTGGGGTGAATAGGGGTGAGAGGGGGGTGGTAGGATGAATAGACGACGTTGGAAACAAAAGCAACCAACCGGTAGCACAGGAACACAAAAGAGGAGGAGAACGGGGGAGAGAGGAAACGAGGGACGGTAGGGGTGGTTGAGGGGTACCTCAAAGGGAAAGGGGTGTGAGGGGAATAGTTACAAATGGCGCGTATTCGCGACGACATTGTTTTAAATGGCTGTCAGACGACCGGAATTTATCCCGTTTTACGAAAACCCGACAAGGACCGTTAAATTTATTTATTCATCCCTGGAAGCACGGGGGGGGGGCTGAAGGGGGGGAATTAACAAGCGGCGCTGATTTTTTATCGATAATTTATCGGGATTATTTGGCGATTGTGAGTGGATTTTAAATGAATCGGTGAGGGATATTTTTTCACAGTCATGTACGAGGGCTATATTTTTTTTTTTTTCTTCTCTCTTTCACCTCTTGAATTTCATCCTCCCCGACATCTTTTCATCCCCCGTACTTAGGGGTAGGCTTCCGGATGAGATCAAACGAAACTCACCGTTGAAGGTAGAAATTGGCCGCTTCCGGGTCGCGTTAATTCTTAATTTCTTAATTTCGAGTCGACCTTTAAGTACCGTAACCAAAGAGGTCTGGCGACTGGGGTTTCGTCATTCTCGTTTTACCTCTTTTTTTTTCCACTCTCTCTCTTCACTTGCCTTTTACCACGGGTTCAACGGAGGGGGGGAGGGGGGGGGCAGAGGGATTCTGGATTAAGACGAAGGAGCAATTAAACTCTTACACTTTCTTGTCGTATTTTTCCCGGGTAAAACTTCGTGACCTTTTCTGTTTAATTTTGGATGAATTAATTATTGAGAGGGGGGTGATGGTGGGGAGACCGGGGGGGGGGAGGAGGTTATGGTTTTTAGCAATTAGCCCCGCGGATTATCCGGTTGTTCGCGATGATTGGGTGTCAGTCTCGGATTTTATTTTGACACGCAATTTTTTTTTCATCACCAGCGGCAATAAAAGAATAAAAATTAGTCCTATCGGGATATTGTATTTTATTCAGCGACGGGAACAACGAAAGTTTGATGAGGCTGTCACAATTTGATAGGCATTCGTGATTGATTCATTACTGCGGGAGAAAATGGCGGAGAAAAATCGACTGTCATTTTTATCAGACAAATTCACTGGCTCCACGATTATTAAATATAATATTTCATTGAATTTCATGCCGATCAATGAGTTGATGTTGAATAATTTTTATATAGTAAGGACGATAAATGGCTAACAGATTGAATTCATCGGGCCAATACTGTCGGAAGAATCCTAGTAATTAAAAATTTATCCCTCTCCCCCACCCCCCCTGTTCTGTCGGGGCTGATTTACCGGGTACAGGCATTAAAATCACTGGCGTGAGTGGTGGTGTACTCGTCGAACAGAGTTGAAGTGGCGTTATAGGTAAAATTTGGGGAAAGGGGAAACTGGAGATTTAATGACTATGGTGACACGACCAAGCGTGATCACGATGATCATGGCGTCGGCAAAATGTCAAGCAGAAGTGTCATGACGCGTGTAGAGTTTACCATTTGCGATATATCGTATAAATCAGTCGGGGGGATATGAGTTATATCGCGAATTCGGACCAATGAATTCTCCGTTAATCGAGCTCCGGCCATTTTATTGTCGATGGATTCGCCGTTACAATGGGATGTTAATTATTTGTCTTTGACGGGAATCATTTTTGGGAATTCATTTCATGATATTTGTTCTGGTTTTTTTTTTTGCTTACGAATGGAAGCTTTGAATTTGACCGATTTCGCCACTTCAATCGCAAGTTATCTAGAATTTTTTGAAACCCGATAAATGTTTTTTGATTGTGCCTGGGTGTATGCGCGGGAAAATTCGAAATTTTGAACATTAATTTTGCGAAAACTGTAGATAAAATGATCGTCTCAGTGGGTCCTATCGATACCCATCGCAATATCTAGACTTGTTCCATCAAAATGCCACGATATCGCCGTTTTTTTTTGGGACTTACCGGGCCGAACTGCTCGAAGTAGTTTTTGACGTCCTCCAGCGTCGTCGGCGCTGATAAACCGCCGACGAATATTTTCTTTGTCCTTGTCACCATCTGAAACATAAATGAAATAACAATAAGAATGGATGAGGTCAACCCTGATTGGATAGAATGATTTATAAGAGGAGAAATGGAGTTGAAATATCACCTGTGACACTACAAAGCCGTAACCAAATAATTTTTCCTCCTCAATGAATGAATTACCACGGGAATTCATCCGTGAATAAACCAGAATCACTTAATGTGCATTTCCCACTATATCTATATATCAATTCCTTCTCATCCGGAAGGCAACCGATACGCGCGATTAATAATAACCGTCTCCGTAGTTGAAGGAATAAACCCGATGGATCTTCAAGGGGTGTTCGACCAAGTGGAAAAGAAATGGCTCCGGGGGGATGAAGACGAGACAGAGTGGTGCGAAAAGAAAAGCCCCTCTTTGCGTTTTTTTTCCACCCGAAGAAATCGAGAATGATGACGAAATAAAAATTGAGAGCGACGGAAAATGCTCGAGTGATAATAAATGTACGTTAACTATTTTATTATCGGGGATGAATTTATTGGAGGGAAATTCTTTCTGGTAGCAACAATTCTTGAGTTTCCATGCGAAGGACTTTGGAAACTTCTCTTCCGTGTACTCGACAAAGTTCTTGGATTTTTATTTTTAGAATTTCCTTCATATTTTTTAAATTTTTTTTTAACCCCCTGGCCACCCCCTGGACGCGTGGAATAGGTGGAAGAGGTGGAATAGGTGGAAGAGGTGGAAGAGGTGGAAGAGGTGGAAGAG